ACAAATCGCACCTCGGGACCGATCCCAGACACTTCCTTCAACCGATTCAATGACTTCCGTGTAGTACGGGTCGGGATTACACCAAAGTAATTATCCAGGCCCAGGGCGTTCTTCTTAGTTCGCCTCAAAGACTTAATGGAGTACAGGGTGTATTTATTGAGAATCCCGTTCTCTCCAAACACCTCCGTTTCACTGAGGCTGGTCTCCCCGAACACCTCCGTTTCACTGAGGCTGTTCTCCTCCTCCTTGACCTCGGCCTTGTTTCGATCAGCTAAGACATTTGCGCTCCTGACCTCATCAGCTTCGTCCCGGTCAGATTCAATTGCACTCCCGACCTCGTCGGATTCATCTCTTAGCTCGGGTATTTCGACGGTCATCCGAACTGCCGATGGCCCGATATCACCCCCAGCTACGGTATCCAGCTGCCCTTCTTCGAAGCGCATCGCCGCGTGCCTCTGCTGGTCGCGTATCATGTCCTCCTAATCTATATTCATCGCGCACGCGAACATCCGGCCGGATTTATCTGACCCCGAGCTAATACTGCCCTCTGATTCGATCGGCAATGTGACCACTTCCTTTCTTTTAGACGACTTACGAGGACTCATCTTCGACAACTTAAACGGTCCCGACTTAAATCTAACCGATGGCACGGGTTTCTACTAGTTGTACGGGATTCTAAAGATGACCCGATCTACTCGATGACTACCGGACTAACAAAATAAGAAAATTTAGAGAGAGAAAGAAGAGAGAAGGGAGAGCAAACCTGATTTGAAGATTTTCGTGAAATGAGAAGTGAAGAAATGAAGACCCTTCGCCGCTTTTTATACAAAATCAAAAATGGTTTTCGAAAAACTCGTAATCATTGCGACGATTCGTATTTCCCGAGCTTAAATATATTCAAAATTCGACACGTGTCGATTCCCTGAAGACGAAGAGACTATTTCGGGTTGGGAAAGGTGGCTAACAAACTCGACCTATAACACGGCCCGACCCACTACACACGGTTCGAGTCCCGACCTTTAGTCATACCGACCAGAAGTTCGTATAGATTGAAGTAGCTTTCGTGCACCCCGTGCTTCGAAATGTCCCAATCTCAATTTATACCGAGCTGTCTCTTTCTTATGTTCCCCGACCTGATTCTCAGATCGCCGTACTGGGGGGGGGGGGGGGGACTTATTGTTAGTGATGGGTTTAACACTCCTTACTAAAAGCCCTTCATAAATTAAGAAAAGACCCATTTGAAACCCTACCTCCGCCTCTGGAGTTAGGTCGGTTCTGGAATATAGAAATATTCCGAGATTCATTCAAATCACGGAAGAAAAAGAAACTACATCCCGAGAAGAAAGGAAATTATCCTTATCCCGGATGAGAAGGATTCGACTCAAGGCGGTCTACGACATCTATATAAGGAGAGTCTCCTCCCTCAAAAATATTCATTCACAACTTCAGACTTGAGACCTAGGGCAAACAATAACTTTCCGCTTTCGGCTTTAGATCTCAGTTCTTACTCTCAAAACTTTACGTCGGTGTTCTTTTCCAACGACCTAAAATTCCTGTACTCTTTGAGCTCCGGCTAATTAATAAAAACTATATCTTTTCCCCCACAAATCTTTATATTCTTTTTAAAGATGATATCCAGATCTTACAAATATCAGAATCCAAACACAATGTAAGAGAAGAGAAACCATAAAAAATTGTTAGTCTCGTGTTATGGTTCATGACCAAACATAATTTGGATAAATTATGAATTTATGATGACCAACAACACTTTTCATATGTTTCTTTAATTTGTTCTATATTATTTGTTGCAAATGTTGTTCAAAACGAGATTAAAAAGAGATAAGCAATGAGGCTATGAAAGCTGTCGAGAGCTTTCAGCAACAAACCAAATCTTAAACAAGCTGAAAGTTTATGAGAGAAACACAAAAGACAACGATCTCTACATAACATCAAAAGAACATAGATACTTTTTTTATGTTCCTTCTACGGCATCCCACGCCCAATGCCTGATTCAAGAACCAACAAATCAAAGCTGATCATAAAGCAAACAAAGAATACATTGTATTCATGGAAGAATGCTCTCGGTGAATGGGAACACACTTGGGCTTGCAAAGTTAGAATTAGCCTTTTTACCCTCTTCCATACAGTAGTATCTACATTATACGAACATCATCTTTTCCCAGTCATCCATAGAATCTGACTCTTTATTATGGCTAACACTAATTCATCTTCGCGGGATAGAGTGGTTATTAGCATATAAATTTCCAGCTAAAATCTTGGTGGCTTTTCTTCCAAATACATACATCCATGTACTTTGGATGTAGAACATCAACAGAGAGACATCCATAAAAGTTTATCAGATAAGTTGCATTTGTTATCATGTCTTACTCATTTTGATTATTAGCATAGTGAGGCAACTGAATAACCTTGAATCTCCTCCAAAATCCACATAGAGGATTTCATACGGAACATGTAAATTAATGATTTTATTCACTTAGCTTTCATGTACATTTCCCTTATCTTTCTCTTCAAAATTTTAGATTGTACCATTTGCATAAAAAATTCTCAAAAACCCAATGACTTTTATGTCTTGTTGTGCTTTGTGTAACATCATTGGAGATCTCTCGAGTGTATAGTTATGTATATTGTTATATCATAAAGAAAAAAATAGATATTTTATCCCAAAATAAAAACACATTCAACATCGAGAGAACAACTAGATTACTCTGAATATTGCATCTCAAGTTATTGAAGTTCTAAACACTTGCATAAGCTTCATATCCTTAATATCTACCAAAAGCTGGATTGAGCGGCAAAGTGAAAAAACCAGGACCTAAGCAAATCAAAATCAGGAATATCAATTGGTTCTTAGACACCTAAGATGAAAATATTAGGTATAATACATTTCTTGACATGCTTTTTGTGATGATATTATAGACATGTATGTCCAAGTTACCAAAGCGAATGTAGAGTACACATATTTTTTCAGATCGCTTGGAAAATTGTTCTAAAGTTCTGGATAACATCAATAATTCTATCGTTCGCCATAAATCTCACGAAACAATATGTAAACCTTAAATCTACAACTAATGTTTTAGAAATTTGATTATTGATTTGGTATTATTTGGAATAGTTGAAACAATGAAATAAATGGTATCAACTGGATGCTTTGCGGGAGAAATTATATGAATTTGAAAATGAAAAACTAAATACGAAGACAGAGTTGAAGAAAGAGACGGAGTAGAAGAAGTATAATAGAAATATGAGAAAGTCAGAAAGATTAAGTTGAAGATTAAGAGGACTTACACATTCGTAATAGTACATGATTACATAATCTAATATCGTGATGATATCCACTACATATTATTTGAGAAGTAACATTATTGAAAATAGCTGATTTGTCAACATTACAGCCAAAGTTAGTGCTTTTAAGTGATGACATGTAAATGTGACATGTCAAACTTCCTAAAATAAATAAAATGTTTTGATTGGTTGAGCTAAAATTAAAAAAATTGTAAAATTAAAACAAAAATACATTATATACATTAGATTATATTTATAACACTAAAATTAATAAATTTAAATTAACAGAAAATAATAATTATTATAATTTCAATTTTTTACATATATTCATAATTTTATAAAATATAATTACAATTTTTTTCAACAATATATATATTGCAATTTCATATAAAAGCAAAACAATAATACTAAATATTCAATAGAATAATACAAATTCTATATATTAATAATACTTGAAGTATGATATATTTTTATTGTGGAAAGATATTAATTTACAAAATATAGTAATAACATCTAAACAAGTTTTAAATAAACAAATTACTAAATAATACAAAATATATAATGATAAAAATAATTTTAAGAATAAAATGTTAAAAATAATAAAAAATAATTAACTTTTATTGAAATTCTTTTAAAAAACGTAATATAAAATAATTTTCCTTTTCAAACCAATATTTACTAAATGAATAAAGTATATACTAATTATTATTTTATAATATTAATAGGACCATATATTTTTCTATAACTTTTATCATCTTTTTATTGTTGTTTTCTAAAATGTACATAACTTATGTTACCATTTCATCTTATCATTTATCATATTTTAAATAAAAATAACATTTTATATCACATTCACACATATATATATATATATTTATTTTCATTGTATATCAAAAATCTGAAATCATAAATAAAATAAAAAATAATTGAACGAAAGAATAAATTAAAGTAAGATGAAACAAATATGAACAAGAAATAAAAAATAAAAGTATATAAAAATAAATCTCTCGCACTTTGTTTTACAAAGTCACTTAAAAACTTTTTAACACATAAGAGTCATATCTGGATTTTTTAACAAATACGCGTACAAACATAAATATTAATTAAGAGTTAGTTGAAGTCACTTAAAAAGTTCGCATGTATTTTGTTAAGTTTGATTACAATCTAATTTTCATTTTAATTATTATAGAATTTATATTTTTAATTTTTTTTATCTATTCTAAGTGTAGCGAAGTGGTTGTATATCCGCACATGCGTGTCAACCATCTATTCGCTCTTAAGAATAAGTAAAAATAGTGAAAATAGTAAAAACTATTTCAGCTTAATTTACAATAAATCAAAAAAAATATATACTTAAAATATATTATATATGTATTTGCAAATTCATATTATGTAAGACGCAAAAAACATATATACAAACATATAAATATTTAAAAAAACTAATCAACATTTAAATATTACAATTAAATATATATATCAAAAGTATTATACCTGTACATATGTGCGAGCAACCACCTGGTTAGTTAACGTAACAGATTTTGTAATATTCTATTACATTCTTTACAATATCTAACTGAAAAACAAGACTTCCACAATTTTAAGAAATGAAACTGGACAACATTAGTATCAGAAGTTTAAGGCTGTTAATTTTTCTGTTTAACATTAAACGTTTTTTTCCTAAACCGGTTTGGTTTCATTCATGTCTCAATTCCGGCTATCCAAAAAACCACAGCGTACCAAAACTCAAAAAGTAAGAATGTGTCTGTCTGCAGTCTGCTAAGCAAATAAGGAAAGAAAACAGAAATAAACTATACACAAATGTGGAACTAGGTCTCGGTTTAAAGCTACTGCGGTTTCTGGTTATCTAACCGATTTTCCGGTTTATTCGGTTTACCCGGTCCCCAAATACGGATGGTCTGGTCATCACTCGCAGAGGCAAGCATACGAGGGTTCCTCGGGTTCCAGCTCACACAGTTTACAGTCATGGAATGACCTGACAACACTTCAAGCGGCTTGGCGTTCTTCAGATTCCATATGTAAACCTATGAACAAACAAACAGATCAAAACTCTCAGTGCAAAATCAACCAACCAAACAAAGAAACCGGTTTGGTCCACAGATATGTGTGTTTGCTTACCTGTGAATCCTCGCTTCCACTGGCGATGAACGAACTCTCAAACCCACCAAAACATGACCGTATCACGTATTTGCTCTGCTTGTGACCCGAGAACTTCAATGGTTGTTTCCACTCTCCAGCAAGATCCCAAAGATGTATCTCTTGGCTGCTCAAGTTGACTATAAAGAACTTACCATCGCCAGAAACCGAAAGTGAAGTAATCGGTTTTTCCTCAGTGATAACACGTTCGAGTAACGTCTCCAAATGCAAAATCCGGATCTCTTTATCCGAAAACACCGTGATCATACTTTCCCCATCCGGAGTCACAGCCAAATCCACTACCTAATTGGGAAACTAAACATTATTTGAAGACCAAAAACAAGGAAACCAATAAGCAAAAAACCTTTTAGACCCATACTACTACTAACCTTTGGGATTCTCGTTCCTCTCCATGCTTTGATCTCGTTTCCATCAGTATCCCACATTACAATCCCTCTTTCCGGGTCAGAACTGCCACAGACAAGGCGAGCGGAGTCAGGGAACCATGCGCAAGAGCTGACAGTAAATCCGCTATTGTTGTCGTTGTTTCCAAATGTGTGTCTCAACACACCTGTCTCAACGTCCCATAGCTTTAGAACCTCAGCGTTTCCGCATGTAAGCAGCTTACTGTCGTCGGGGCTCCACGAGACAAACGAAACTGGGTTTTGGTGGCTCTGAAGCGTGTGCATCAGTTCGACTCTGTTGTCATCCAGTACCTGAAACAAGAAGTTTTAGTCCAATACCAAACTATATCAATCTGTCACAAGACAAGAAAAAACCATCTTTAGCCTTAAAGACAGTCTCGAAATGATAATAGAAAACCTAAAGACATACGCAACTATCAACCCTAAAAGTAGAAAGACATAGTGACACGACTCAAAACGACAAAACGCTACGACTTGCTATATAAAAGTTACTATCCTTATTTGTTGTCATAAAATGGCTTTCTACCTTATATACCAAGCTTCAAGCCAAGATATACAAGAAGAGACCTGGTAAGGTTCTCTTACTCTTATCCATCAGAACCAGAACTAGTTCATCTGGTCTCTTTCTCAATAACATTAAGCAAAGATAAGAGGAACCAATTGTCTAAGATATTTACCTTCCATATCATAGCTGTACAATCGCTTGATGCAGTGGCCAAATATTTGCCACTATTAGAGAATTGTACAAACCACACTTCATTTTTGTGTGCCATCAAAATCTGCAAGATAATAAGAGATTGAGAAACTATAAGAACCAGTAGCAAAAGTACATAAAGACATGACTTTCTGGTGTAGAATACCACCAAAATGTAACCCTATCCATCTATCATCTAATAAAAAATTTAAAAATTACAAGAATCACAATTTTGTCCATAGCTATCTCAATATCAAAATGAAAAACAACATATGGTTTACTAAGGAACAACACCTGGACTGTTTCTGAAGGGATTTGGTCTCTACCGCAAAGGTGATCCTTGTAGAGTGATACTGCATCACATGAGTTATGATACAGACATTTATCAATCTGGTCCAACACAGCAGTCTCAACCAAATGTTCCAACCTTCCCTCAGGAATAACAATTGGCGAAGGAATCAACTTCTCCAGTTCAACCAACAACCTCTTCCTCAAATCTTCAACCAAGAAGTTGCTCACTTCACCGTATTCCATCTCTTTCGAAGTAACAATATCACAAGCAAGCCTGTGAATCTTCTCTTTCCCAACCTTTAACATCGGAGCTTGCTTCTGCAGCACATTTATAGCTAAAGAAGTATCCCCTCGTTTCAGACACTCGAACAAACACTGCTTGAACACTAGATACAAAGCCGTGTTTCTCGCTTCATCCTTCGAGTTATCGAAAACTCTGTCGAGAACCGCTAGGGAACTATCCCAGTTCCCACTCAAAACTTGCATTTCAAGAAACTCAAAGTCAGAGGATTTGTACGAGACGTTTGACTCTTGTTCAAGGCAAGAAGCGGATCTCTTGTACCCTAAGGAGTATAAGCACTGGACCAGAATCCTGACGAACTCATGTTTCTTCACCAAACCTTTTGAGCCTAAAAAGTCCCAAGAACCATTCTCCATATGGACCACACTCTTAAGGTAAAGAAAGTACTCTTACGTCTGGATGATGATGACTTTCTGAGATTCTCACGCTATTATCAACTATTTTCCACATTCAGTAGTTGAAAGGTCCACAATCTCAATTTCCCGCTGAAAATTTTGACTTTCTTCACTAATAATACAAATTCTCTAAAAACCTCACCGAATCAGAAACAAACCCAGAAAGTACACTCAATAATTTCCCAAACTTCGAAGCGAATCACTCACCCAAAACGAAATTAATACTAAATATAGAATTCAATCCCCAAAAAGGCTATAAAGGATCCAGATTTGGTTTCGAAGCTTCCTAATGAGAATTCGAATTTCTGAATCAATAATCTAACAGGAGAAAGAAGAGAAGGCGAAGAAATCGTTCGGCAGTGACTACCCAGTGACTCAAACTTACCTTAAATGTTTCCCCGAGAAAAACCCAGTCGCACGAATTCGAAAATCGAATCGACTACACGGTTCAAATCGCAGAAGCGTGTACACAGATGGGAGAAGAGAAATGGCTGAGATATTCAAATTCTTCGTGAAATGGTAAAAGATGAGAGATACTAAAAAACCAGCTCAGATGATAAGAGGAAGAAGAAGAAGAAGAAGAAGAAGGTAGGCTTGAATCCAAATTCTCTCCTTTTTTTCGTTCCTGATTTCAATATTTTTCGGCTATTCTGTTGTGTGTTTTGGGGAAGAGAGGTGGAAAACCATGTGTTTATATCGTTAAGCCCTATCGCTTAATCCCTATCGTTAAGGCGATATTGTTATATGAAAGGAAAAATTGCAACAAATAAACCTCCCAAATCTTTTGTAAATACCTCAATTTTTGTATTTAACTAGGTATTTACCTGCGCCATGGTGCAGGATATTTTTCTTAGATTTGTATATATTTTTAATATAATAAAATTATTTATATATTTTAAATGAGTATTATATTTATTTTTTATTAGCTTAAGTTATGTATTTATATGTTTTAAATCTAAATAAACATTATATATTATTAATTTTTTTTTATTTTTTAAAATTATAATCTACTATCAAATTTGTTTAGCTAATTATCTATAAATGTATATGTAAGAATAAAACAATACATTTTTAAGTACCTTCAAGCAAATGGTAGATGTAATTTATTTTCTCTACTGCTACTTGATCCTCCTTTGGAATTATATAAAGCAAATTGTCATTCAAAAAAAAAAATAATTAAAATGATTATTTTAAATTATAAAATTTATTTATTTATCAAATATTTATTATAGACATATGTTTCTAAAACTACCAAACTATAATCAATAACATTTATATCAAAATCATTACTATTACTTTAGAACTAAATAGAAAGTTCTATTTGAACTGTTGAAATATCAATTTAGTTGAAGTTAAATCATTCAATTTTGGTTACTATAAACATATTATAACTTGAAAATTTAGCACGGATAAATTTTATCTTTTTACAAAAACCGAGAAATTGCATTTTCCGCCAAAATAAAAAAAAAATCATTTTCTCGTCAAACCTGAAATTTCATTTTCCTACCAAAACAAAGAAATTGCATTTTCTCCCAAAAACCAAAAAATCACACTTTCCCGCGAGAACCTGTATTTTTCCATCAAAACAGAGAAATCAAGTTTTCCAAAACCAAAAAATTTCATCTTCCTGCAAAAACAAAAAATAGTATTTTTCCGTCAAAACCAAAAAATTATTTTCCCGTAAAAATCGAAAAATCGTCTATTCCCACCAAAACAAGAAAAAATTATTTTTCTCGTCAAATCAAGAATCACGCCTTCCTACCAAAACCGATATACAATTTTCCGCAAAAACCAAAAATTGCATCATCTCCTGAGAAATTGCGTTTCCCACGAAAATTAAGAAATCATATTTTCCCTCGAAAACCAAAAATCAAATTATATGTCAAAAACTGAAAATTTGCATTTTCCATCAAAACCAAGAAATTGTTTATTCCCGCCAAAATCGAGAAATTTTGCTTTTTTATCAACCCGAGAAATTGCATTTTTTGCCAAAATTGTCAAATTACAATTTTCCGCAAAAATCAAGAAATTACATTATCCATCAAAAGCCGGAAAATTGCATTTTCTATCAAAACCGAGAAATCATATTTTTCGTCAAAATTGAAAAATTGCATTTCCCTCACATTTTCTCGTCAAAATCAAATTTTTTATTTCTCACTAAAACCAAAAATTCACATTTTGCCGCCAAACCCGAGAATTTGCTTTTTTCCGACATAACCGAAGAACTATGTTTTCCTACCAAAACTGAAAATCACATTTTTCTACCAAAACCAAGAAATTTTCTATTTCCGCCAAACTCAAGAAAATTTGTTCTCGATAACCAGTGGATTTGCGAATCTCCAAGCTCTGGTGGTCTGAGTTTCTCCTCATTTGCTTTCGCCTTCCATTTTTTTTTGTAAACTTTGGACTTTTAATGGGTCAGCAAAATAGTAAATTGATTTTATTAGTGTGTTAATAATATGTATTATTGTTATGTTTTTATTGGTTCAAATTTTTGCTGATGTGTGAGCTTCTTATATCATAACGCTTTTTGCATTGTTGTTATGGAAGCATAGTTGAAGATGAGTCTACACTTTCTTCAATCATATACGTCTATCAAGCAAACACATAGTTAGAAATTTTAATTTTTTGCTGTTATTTATTATTTGAGTTTCGGTTTGGCAAAAATATAAAACAAAGATTTAATTTTATTATTTGTTGTTATTTATTATTTGGATTTGTTAAAAAAATAAAAGAATTTTTTTTTTACTTGTTGTTATTTATCATTTGGGCTTGAGCTTGACCAAAAAATAAAACTAAAATTAACAATAAAAAATATTTAAGTTTTTAATGGGTTAAAATTTAAAAGTTAAAATAAATTGATGACTTGTATTGATGAAATGTTTTTATTGGTGTTTTTTTTGCTGAAGTATCATCTCCTAAAAGCTTGAAAATGCTGATGTGTGAAGCCATAGAGAGACTTATGAGTTATTGTTGTGTTGATTTATTTTATGATGATTAAGAAGAAAAAACAACATGTTTTTCAGTTATTGGAAATCTTGATATTAAGAAGAAAAAACAACATGTTTTCAGTTATTGAAAATCTTGATATTCAAACAAAGAAAAGAGATCTCGATATTCAGGGAGAAATTACTATTTTTGCTTATTTTATTAATATCCCAATGCTAAGAAATTCCAGCAGAAAATACTTTGGTTAATATATGATCCTCTTACATATCACATATGCATATATCAAATAGGTCAAACAATCTTCAACATTTATATTTATATGAGCATTTGGAAATCATAATATAAACTATTTTTTTGTCAGTCAGTGTTTGTTTTAAAAATAAAATAATCAGTTTGAGTAGATGTTTTAAAAATAATGTCTTAGCAAAAATATGATTTTCTACGGTAGATTACATGGAAACTTTGTCTTATATGAGCTTTGCATTTTAGAAACATTTTGTAAACCAAAACTTGATGAAAATACGAAAAATTATATTTTCGCATTTAAAAAACATGATGGAAATACAAAAGAAATTTTATTTAATTTATTGTAATAAATAAATTAATAATTATAGAAATAAAATTAAATGATCAATTTATTTTTTTATAAAATTTAATAATTAATTTAATTCATTATATTAAGTTAATAATCAATTAGAATTGGATGGTTAATGAAATTAATGAAATTGATGTTGAAAACTCATCTAAATTTTTTACTTTAAATGTTATAAATTTTTATATTAAAATAAATTATTTAATAATATGTACTATATTTTAGTTGATAGTTTTAATATTATTTAGATATTTAATATATATATTTATTTATTTATTTAAGAGCAAATTTTAGGATACCACATAGAGGGATTTGATAGGTTGTTATACATGCGAGAGAGATTTGAACTTTGGAGGTGGGTGAGCCTGCAGAAAAAAGAAGAAGACAGAGACTCTCGACAGATTGGAAAGGAGTTGTCTTTCCTATTACGCTTCAACGCTCAAGTCAGAAAGGCACATGACTGAGACGGAAGATGCAAAGATTTCGGAAGAACAAGGAAACAGAGGCGCTCTATCAACTCGAATAGATCTTGATTGGGCTTTTAGTGGTTAAGCTAAGTAAAATGAATCTAGAAGACAAAGTTATCTCTCTAGGAATTCTCCTCCTCTACCGTTGGTGCGAGGAGTACGTTATATAGGAGATACCAGATTTCGGGCCAGACATGGATTCGAGTCTCCTGGGTCGAGTGCCTCCTTTATCCTTTCAGTCGTCCTTTGTTATCATTTTCGATCTGACCGAACTCCTCCATGCATATAGTTAGAAGAGAGGTTGATGACCTGCTCCGCCTCTCCCTAACCGCTATCATTGCGGCCTTTTTAGTTGGTTCAGAGCATTTAATGCTCATCGGATTCCTACTGCGTCTGATCCCCACACGTTTAGACTTTATGGGCTGAGACAGCATTTTGTGGCCCAACAATATTTATTTATTTATGTGGTATATACATGTTTTTTTTGTGTGGTCAGAGTATCTACATGTTTCCAAAAAGTTTTTATTTCTCTATTTTTTAAAATTAATATTTCCACGTTTTGTAATGTTTAGTTTCTGTATATCCGTTTCCATTTCCATGCAACCTACTGATGAGTTTGAAGTTTAATTAATAATAAATTTTTATATATTTTTAGATTTTGTTGATTTTTTCATATCAACAAATTTACAACTATATATAAAAATCTGCATACTAATTTTTTACATTACATACCTAATCAATCAGATATGTAGTAACAATACAAAATCGTTAAGCAAATTGATTTCTATGGAAGAAACAAAAAAAAAAAGCAAAAGATTTGAAAGATAAATATTTTAATTTTAATGATACTTTTATAGTTTTAGTTTCTTTCTTGATATCTTCTAGGCGTCAATGTTTATTGAATATTTATGGACATCAAGTTTCAAAAAAGCTAGATCTGGTTTAGTAGTAAA